CTTGTTTGTTTTCTTTCTCTCAGAGACCACTATCCATCATGACCTGCTCTCCAAGTCTTGAAACTTTTATTTTATGTGTTTTGTTCATTTTTTTATTTGTTTATGTTTGTGTTTGTGTGTGTAAATCGAAACCTGTTACAACAAATCTAGATGCTATATTCTTTTTTTTTAAAACTCAATTGTTTTATTTTAACTTCTTTATGAGTGTGTTGTTAGTGCTGTCGAATTGATTCTGACTGCTAGAGATCCTGTACACAATGAGTCTGTGTAGGGCAGAGTGGAACCCTTACTGGTCTTTTTTTTTTTTTTTGCACCATCCTTTCATCTTCCAGCACTATATCAGACAAAGCTCCAATGATTTTCATAGGGTTTTCATTGCCATTTTTCTCAGAAGTGGGTAGCCAGGGCCTTCTTCCTTGTCTGAAAGCTCTGCTGAAACCTGTCCACCATGGGTGACCCTGCTGGTATTTGAAAAACTAGTAGCACAGCTTTCAGTATCACAGCAACATGCAGCTGCCACAGTATGACAACCGACAGATGGGTTGTGTGGTCCCCTGACCTGGAAATGACCCTGGGCTGTGGTAGTAAGAGTGCTGAATATTAGACCACCAGGCCTGGCTTTTATGAGTGTAGGTAAACATTTTACACTCTAGGTTCTTAGGATGTCAGTACTTATCTCAAAGGATGTTGCAGCTGTCTAAAAAGAAAGTGTTTTATTCTTTTCTAAAATTTAATCTTTTTGCTGGGCAGGGGAGTTTGAGAACCACCGCTTGACTAATACTTAGAGCAGTAGTGCTTTACACAAATATTGCATATTCTGATTTTAAAGGGCTTTTCATGTACATTCTCTCATTTGATTATCTATGGCCAAGGCCATATTATTAAGGGCAAGATTGTTATTAAGTGATGCTCAGGAATATCATGATTGCTCAAATTTGCACACCTTATAACCACTACAACAATAACAGCTGCCATTTATGACACACTTTATGTGTGGTAAGTGGGGTGCTCAGCACCATATACACAATCTTATTTAATCTTCCCCCAAAACACATCAGGAAAATGCTACAATCTTTCCTATTCTAGATTCTAACAAACTAGAGCTTAGGAGACACGCTATCTTACCGAAACTCACACAGCTAATAATGGCCAGAGCTGGGTATTGAACCCAGGCCGCCTGCCTCCCAGACCATGCTTGTAACCATTAGTCCACCCTTCATGGCAGTGGGAAAGGCTTCTGAACTTCTTGCTGCCTTCTGACTTTTTTTTCCCATGATCTCAATTGATTCAAAGATGGCAGATTAACTCATTTTAAAATGGATAAAATATTGTGCACTCTTGGGAATATTGCTCCTGTGCTATTGCTCATGAAAGGCAAGGACTTTCTAGGTGAAGCTGGTTGGGTGGCACTTATGCTGACATCAGGGTATTATTTCAAGATAGAAGATACTTTTGATAGGAAATTCATACTATACTGGGTTCATTTTGTCATCAATTATTTTATATGGATATTCATTTCTGAGTTCTTCCTATCTAAAATTTCAACCCTTACCAAACTCCAACATCTACCCTTTCACATTCCTCTTCCTTCCTTATTTTTTCTCGTTCACACTTATCACTAATATATTAATATATTTTACTTCTCTTTGTTTATTGTCTGTTTCCTTCACTAAAATATAAGTTCCATAAGGACACACTGTTTTTTCTGTTTTGTTCACTACTGTATCCCCCCACATCTACTAAGTAAGAACTCAATAAATACCAGTTAAATATATTAACATTTGTGTTTAGGCAGTGTTCTTAGGATTTATGTTATTTTGATGATTGTTGTGTAGTGGAATGGAGAGCAATATCTGACACTAAGTTTTCAGGAGCATTAGGATCTGCCTGTACATATTCTCACTGCTAGTGGACATATATTATTTGCCAAAAGAGGCTAAAGCCTATAGGAGGAAGATAAGATCACTAGATGAGACAACCATCTCAGAATTGTGGAGGAAGATCACAATTGCATGTTAGTTTCTCCCCTCCCTCCTGATAACACAATCAGCTGTTAGGACTGTCATGTGATGGAGGGATAAATCTTAATGGGGAGGTAGTGGTGTAGTAGTTAGCAGCAAAGCCACTGGTCTCAGAATGCTGGGATTCAATTCTTAACTATTCTGCTTACTGGCTCTATAAATATTAGAATTCACTATTATTATATGCCAAGGATTTTTATCCTGAGACTTCAAGAGATTCTTCAACCTTTTGAAACTGTGTTCAAACCTATTGTGTGTAAGGGACTGGATGCATCTTTCTCGGGAGGTCTATAGTTTTCATCAAATTTTCAAATGTCTGTCAGTACTTACAATACTCTGGGCTTCAAAGATCAAGTGATACTGTTATGAACAAATCTGCAAAACTGCATTGCTTTCAATTGGCTTACTAGGGCCAGCCAGAATCCTAATATTTTGCAGGTCCTTAAGATTTCTGTGTTTTACTTACCCTCAAACCTACATAGACCAGAGCTACAAAACAATAATAACTTCACTATCATTATAATCACCTTTTCACAGTTGAGGTTAACTGATCTGCCTATACTAACATGACAGAGACAAGAAAACCTCATACATGAATTTATAAAAGAAATGATCACATTTTATTTTCAATAATACCTATGTATCTCTCCCATAGGAATGTGGTTCTTTGAGAGTAAAAGCATCACGCCTTATTCATTTTTGTAACCTCAGCATCTGGAAAGTGTAAAGTACATACTATATGCTCCATATATTTGTTGTATAATGATTGAGTTGGGTATTAGACTCAAGTCTTCTGATTATAAATCCTCAACATATTCCCATTTCATTAAGTCACACATCTTTTCATAAAATTACTCTGGGGAGGGGAGTCTCATTCTGTTGCTAAAGTACTGTTACAGCATTTTCTCTTACTCAATATCTTCCTCAGCTAGGGTACTGACTATTAAGCAAACACTCATATTTGTATCATGGAAAGGAAAGTAAAACATGAATAAAGAGTCAAATAAAGAGCACAATATATATTTTGTTTCTATTGAAAGTATATGGAAACTAAAGACAATGATATGTTTTAAAACATTTGAAAAACAGTCACTTATGAGTACTTTATTTCTTAATAATCTCAAACAACCAATCACAGAAAAACTCCTGTGTCATTTTCTAGGGATCTGATCATTTTTATGGCCACTAGTTGCATTCACTCCATACCCCTGGTATCTGCATCACCTACCATATTCTCAAATCTGTCTTTTTGATATATTTATACTTCTGTTGCATTTCCTGATCACGTTCCCCTGGTTTATTACATTATTCGACTAAATGGATGGATAAAGAGCATCCATTCAACCTGGGAGCGATGTAATGAAAATAAGGGGGATCCATTGGCAGAGAATTAAGTTGAACAGGTGGAGGAAAAAGAGGTGAATAAGAATCTTAGGAAAGAAGAAAAAAAGATATGTAGTAGGTTTAGAAATAATAGCAGGATTGCTATGTTGATTATTTTTTCTTACGTAATCCCAGTGCAGCAGCCAAGGAATATTGGTTAATAAATGCATAAATACTCTCATCATCGCATCTAACGGTAACAGCAAATTGTTTTTAAGCTTTTGAATACATTTTCTTTCCTTCCTCTTTTCTTTTCCTTCTTTCTTTCTTTATCTTTTTTCTTCTTCTTTTTGTTAACTGGCATGCCTTATTTTCTTCATCTTGAGAACTATACTGAGTAACAAGTTTGGGTCCCCAAATGTCCCCAAAGGTTGTGCAAAGAGGTATTCATGGGCCTGACAGCAAGAAGACATTCCTGAGTATGGGACTGAGTCTTGTGGGACAAGTTCCATCAGACTATAAGTGTATAAGCAAATACAAGAATAACAAAATCCCATTAACTAATGATATTCTTAGACATCTGGCTATAAAGAAGGTTTATAGGCAAAAAAAAAAAAAAAAATTCTATGACAAGCCTTTCTATTGCTTCAGAGTATCCAAGATCCACTAAATCCACATCACATAAATTCAAAGTAATTCTTATTTTCAAATTGGTCTTCTAAATTCCATATTATATAAAACAAAAATAATTATTTTTCTCCAATTTTGACATTTTATTACACAAAATAAAAAATATTTTACTATGTTAGTGAAAAACCACTTTACTTTCTAAATGAGAAATTAAAAGGTATAACTCTTGAACTTCATAGATAAATATATCTAAAATCTAATAATTTCATTAAAACAATAAAGTGTTAAATTCTAGGAAGGAAAAAACAACAGTAGTATTAATTCATTTAAAAAAATGATAATATGTGTAGTTTGAAGAAAAAAACTGTATGATAGCACTTATCATTTCTTAGCATGAAGGACACATTTATGTGTCCATATTTTAAGTTTCTGAATATAATAAAATCTTAAAATTATTCTTATGCTTCCTAATGTCATATATATGCAGGATTAATCCTTAATTTTCATTTACTTAGAAAGCCATTTAAGAAGTGAATTTGCAGTTTTCAAACTAATTCATCAAACAATAATGTCTGTGACTGTGAAAAATAGTCATGTTTCTTGCAGAATTATCCAGAATTCCTATGACCACAGGTCATTCTCAAAGTTATTTTATAACAACTTCAGGCAGCACTTGCAAATTCAGATAACATAAACACTTCCAAATTTCAGTTCAAAAACACAAAGTGATTTTATACGGTAATGCTTTATAAAAAATAAAACCCTTCATTTCAAAAATTGAAAGCCCTAATAATATCTTTGTACTATGAATAAAAGAATTATTTTTGAAAACTTTAAAAATACCTATAATTTCCCATTTAACAGTAAATATTGCATGCAAAAGGACTCTAGCAAAGCTTTAAATAAGTATTGAAATAATATGCATCGCTTCACAAAAAAAGATTTGACAGTAAATCACTGGGTCTGATATGTGCATGCTACAGCATAGTATGTTCAGCATCAAAAAATAAAGTAAAATGAAATTACCCTAAAAGACATTTCAAGATTCTCTCCACCCCAGATATCCATTCCTGCATCGTAAGTTCCTATCTCTTCAAAGTAGTTTCTGTCAATAGAAAATAGGCCACCAGCCATAGTAGGGGTCCTAGTTGAAAAAACAAAAAGAAAAGAATATCTTTTGAAAACAATGTGTGGCGTTTAACAATACTATAGCAAATATATATGAGACATTTTAAATTAAAAAAAAAAGTACTTAAAAAATCTCAAACTGGAAACATAAAGCCAAGGTGTAAGAGGTTTTAAAATTAATAAATAGCATTTTATTTCACATTTTCTGTAAAACTCAATTTAGGTTAGTATGTGTTTTTCTTATAGGTGACCAAATAGATACATGGAAGGAACACTGGCCACTTAGGACTGGGGCGTCTACAATCTTTCTGAAAGGCATAGTGAACAGAATTTAGTGCTCTTAGCATTATTCTTGAAGAGATTAACTCGTCATGAAACTCCCAGTTGTGATCTTTTGTCACCTAATTATAAATCATTTTAATGTGAACTCTAGAAAATCCTGTGGAAATGGTTTCCCTATGAAAAGATCTACAGCCTATTTAAAGATGAAAAATATTAAATGTTATAAAATGTTTATAGCCAATAAGTATCTAAGAATAGCTACCTAAGTATTTTTTAACATAAGAGCTTTACATCTAATTGTTTATTCTTCTCTTTACTTAAAATGATAGAATTAACCATAGAACCCTATGGATAAACATAAATTCCAAATGCTATTCAGAGGTTTAGAAGGACATTTGGCACAGATTCTAAAACTTTTTCCTAGGAATAAATGTCTTTTGGCTCTCACATTAGAAATTTCTCTATAGGAACTAAGAGGTCAGTTGTTTTAACAGGATCAATTAATTATTAATTAATTTAAAATGATTAATGTCGATGGTTAATGTGTGAACTGTACAATTCTTTCTATATAAGCAGTAAGAATTAAAACTAAAAAAAGAAAATTCTAGCTGTTCACAAATGGATCCATCTATACTGGCAATGATTATTTTTGAATGTTAGTTGTAGTATAGTGGTTTTCAACCTTCTTAGCACATTAGCAGCACCTGAGGCACCTTTAAAAAATAATTTCCATGCTTGGGTACCACTCTCCACAGAGACAGATTTAATTGTCTGGGGTGGAGCCAGACCTTTGGTATTGTGTAAAGTTCCCAGGTGATTCTAATGTGCTGCTAAAGATGAGAAACACAGGTCTAGTAATTACATTTGGAATTCTCATCCAAGTAGTCTGAACTGTTAAAAAACCAAATGTTTTGCTTTTCTCAAAATTACATTCTCTTCATGCCACAGATATGTTCATGTCTTCTAATTGAACAGTGTACTTCACTGAAAAACCCCCAAGTCATATTGTACTTGGATATTTACCATATTGCAAAGTTCCCTATTTCTCCCAGTGCTCTCATTGTTTTATACTCAGGTAATTAACTGTCCATCAGTTGGAGTAGCAGGGCCTCGCTTTTAGTCTCAGAGCTGTTTTATTAGTTCCAATCTTGCTGGGTACCTATCATGAACAGTATCATTGACCTTCTGAGTTATAATGAGAAATACTAACAAAGCTAAACAGACGGTAATTATGGAGTAGCCACGACCCTTACCTGATTGGGGTTTTGGAACTCTAATGGCAATACTAACTATATAGAAGGTATTACAGTGCCAGACAGTCAATTTAATGAAATGAGGAACAAAAATTGCTACAATTATCCTATCATAATGCAACCAAGTGCTTAAGAATGTTAAGTGATACATTTTTAATGACCAGTTCAGAGTGCCTATCCACTTATCTATTTACCAATAAAAGTTCTAATGCACTTAAATACACATATTGAATTTCATCTAACAGTTGATCATAATTCTTATTAATATGTGAGATATGTATAATAATTGGCTAAAATAAATTATATATTTAACATAAAATGACTCAAAAAAGTTTCACTTGAAAAGTGAGGAAAAAATTGTAAAAATTACAATTCCTCAAAAAAATCGTGTATTGTCTGAAGACAGATGCTCCTAGAGAGATTTTTTTGTATTTGCAATGTCAAGTTAGATCTCTCAAACCATCTCTAGGTGTGCCTTAAATAATATCTACCGCCATAGCCAGTCTATGCAACACGTTGTGTTCTAAGCTAACTGCTTTGTAATGTCCCTAATGAACTATTTATATATGCCTATGTGAACTTTAAGCGTTCAGGCTTCCAAGAAAATTAAAAACCTTGATGATAGTTGAATTAGCTGAGCTTATTTGCTTTTTAAGGTTGTGTCTATACAATGTCAAACCAACCAACCAATTCAGTTTTGTTGGGGAAAAAATAATCAGCCCAATGGCTGTGAACATTACCTGCCACACAGTAAGTAGGTGAAGATGAACGGAGTTAATAAAAGCAAAGCACGTAGCACAGTGCCGGGCACATAATAAACAGTTAATACAGTTAAGTGACACATTTTTGTTGTTGCTGTTGACGTTCATCATTCAAATAAAAGTTTTAAGTGCCCTTCACTTAATTTAAGCTCCCCCTACACACACTCACATTTTGGATTTCAAAATCATTTGGAACTACTTCATCTCCAAGATGTTGACCACTGAAATCTGCCTCTCTGAATACAACTTTCTATTTTCTAGCCCCTCCCATTTCAATCCTGTGGAAGTTACTTTTTATCCTTCATTGGTGATACTGGTTCCTTAGCTACTCCATATTCTCACATAATAACTCTTTTCAGGAATTGTTTGCTTCCATCCTCCCACTCTCCTTTCTGAGATTCTGGCATGTCAGTGAAAAACTAACTTAGTACCCTAGATTCTCTGTCTTTGCCTTATCTGATCCAATTCTCTTTTTGTAAATATCTGTGCCTGGGTAAACTTAACCTTCATCTCATCCACTTCTGCTCTTAAGACCCAGAGAATCATTGCAAAAGTAATAAGATGAGGTCAACTGGTCATACTGCAAGTCCATGTTATTAACTTTCTGCTTTGTCCACAAACAGCCAACAACCCTGTTATCTATATTTATTTGTTCACCTATCTCATTTTTAACTGAATCTTTTCTAAAAGTTCTGGACTATTCTCAAGATTAAGGCAATGCATAAAATCCAAACTCACTCAATCATGAAATCTAAATTCCCTCAATCTCTATCTCAATATGTATTTTCTTGTAGCCTCTTCCTCTTGTCTCAGAGGAAAGAATATTTCCTTTCCTCTCATAGTGGGCTAGTATTCACTCTTTTGCCCTCAGCCGCCTTTTTACTGACTACTTTTTCAGCCACTTGCTCATTGACTATCACATTTATGTTTTATGCCTTTGATTTCTAGATTGTCCCCTTGAGCTTACAAAACTGCTCAATTAAGTTCTATCCTAAACCAAAATACATCTTCACTCCATCCTACTACTCATTCAAACTAGGGACATATATTTTCTATTCTCTTCACTGAAAACTTGATTGAAATGATACTTTCTACTACTCCCTCAACTCCTCTTGACCTTCTAAATAGAATTGGGGTCCTGCTCCCACCTCTACAATAACTTCTTTCTGAAAGGGCCCCATTGATTCTGAACTTCAATAGCCTTTCCTTAACTTCTTCCTTTGAAAGCACTTAACACAATTCCTCAGCCTCCCTGCTTGAAATTCTTTTCACCTCTGACTGCCACTGCATTGTTCTAGAAAGGTTTTTCCTACCAATTTGACTGTTCATTTTATGATTCTTATTGATGCCCCTTCTTCTTCCTTTCTCTTGCTGGCTGTCAGATCTTAGTCAAGTTCTTTGCTTCACATCTGTGGCATGAGTAAAATATACCATCATAATATTGTTTTGTAGACATTTGCACTTAATAATTATCTTCTCTTATCCCAAAATGTAGTCCTCCCAAGGGTCTCTGAGTGGCACTTTTCTCTTTCTCTACTCTTTACCTGTACGAGCTCATTCATCATATGCCTTAAACTGTTGCCTCTGTGAGGCTGACTCCTAATCTGTGTTTTCTTTTCTCACTTCTCTCTGCACTGGTTGTACTTCTCCAATTACTCACCAGATGTTTTCTTAAAAAAAAAATCGTTCTGACTTTGCTCAGTGTCTGTAAAACAGAACTGAGAATTTGCCTCCCCTTCCACATCTGCTTCTCTTTCAATGTCCTCTGTTTCCTTCCAGAGTCATGATATAAGATGATGAAACCACCTTTCAGCATCTTTCTTTTCTGTGCCTCATCCAATCATTTCCCAAATACTTCCTATTCTTTTCTGAAGTATTTTTGGCTCTTATCTCTGTTCTCTATCATGGTCGCTATGCAGTTTTAGTCCTCTTGTTTCTAACCGTTTGCTAACGGAATCCTCTTGCTTCTAGATTCTGCTGCTTCCAAAATTTATTCCACAAACCACAGTCAGATTAATTTCTCTAAATCAAAACTCCTGCAAAAATGTTAACTGGATGTTTAAAAACTATTTTAAGGAATAAATTCCAGCTTCTTATCCTGGCATCAGTGATCTGGCACCATCCAATGAGCTCCTCCACTCCTTTTAACTATGTCCCTGTGTTCTAAGCATTTAGCTCTTACCAGTAGATGTTTCACACTTTCCCACCTTGGTACATTTGTTCCAAGTGACACCCATTTGTCACTTGGATTTCCCTTTGCAAACTCCTCTGTGTTCAAACCTGATCTATTCTTAGGCCAACACAAAAGGTATATATTCCATGCAGCCTGCCCTCAGTACAACCCCCCTCCCTCCAATCTGGATGTAATCTTCCTTTTCTACTTCCTTCTATAGCACTCTCTCGCTGCCTCTCTCAAGGCACTTCTCACTTCTCACTGAGTATTTTATTTATTTCTATATACATTTTACCACCTCTATAAGTATAGCCAGTATATTGATTTAATACTATTAGACTGTTAATAGATATTTATTGAATAAATGAAATAAACAAATGAGTAGTAGTAACCCCACGGCCACAAAACAATCTTTCTGAAAGTTAAAATTACCTGCAATTTTATTTCTGAAATTACAAAAAGAAATTCCTTGCTCACATCTGCTAAACTGATGAGTAACAAAGATGCCTTCACTGATTCCAGGTTTTTAAAAGACCTTATCATCTAG